AGTCCTCGCCTTCAAAGTTGCTTATATTCTAGTTGGGAGATACCCATATATGCCACTTACTGTAACAGTGTAGTAAGTGGCATGACTGCCCAGAGGAAGAAGGGGTGACATCTCATTAATAGGGTCTGAGAAAGCTTCCAAGAGACAAGGACTTATAAGTTGGGACTTGAGGAATCCTGCCAGGACAAGAATAGGCAGGAGAGCATTCCCTCCCAATGTGAGTGAAGGCCAAAGACATGCAAATATATGGCGTACTTAGGCAACAGCTGCTAGTCCAGTAAAAAAAGATGGTGGTAGCCCAGCTGGCCGTGGTCAGATTGCACAGGGCCATGAAGGCATGTTTTTGTTGTAGGCATTAGGGGGTGAAAGGGGATTTTTAGCAAGGCCATGAAAGATCACAGCTGAGCTTTAGAAACAGTGTCACAGTGGTAGAAAGGAGGGCTACACATGGGAGCCAGGGACCAGGTAAGCTCCACGAGGCCACTGCAGTTACCCGAAAAGAAACTGTCAGGATAGATCTGAAACAGCATTGTCGGGACTGGGGGAGACTTCCATAGGGAAATGAAACTAGGAATTTAAGTGGATGTGAGGCCAGAGGGAGAGAGAGGAACCAGAGAGGAGGAGAGGTAGGTTAGGCATACTTCCACGTGGGGTGTGGGTGCTTTGGAAATGACTGTGGGCAATTAGGAGTGAGTAACTGTGCTTAAGTTAGGAGGTCTGAGCTGACAATACGTATGTGGGAGACCCTGGCATATAGTAGTGATTTAGATAATAGAAGTGTAGGCTACCTGCCCTCTCCCCCACTGGGAGATTTGTAAAGTGAAGATGGACTGGACCGTGGGGAGCATCTGCAGCTGTGAGCACAGATCAGAAGATGCAGGATAGCTGTTCAAGTTGCCTAGATTTCCTGAGGTTCAAGGACCTTTTTGTAAATATTTCCTGGTGATCTCTCCTTCCCATAAGTCACAGTAGATAGTCCCTTTGAATTGGACCCATCATCTCAGTTTAAGAAGAGATTACAGACACATGGAGAAAGTCACCCCTATGAGGTGAGCCCCTATTAAGTTAGAATGAAAGGAAAAGCACCTTTTGCCCAAACTATTACATAGTGGTCTCTTTTTTCTTTCTCTCAGTTGACTCCGTATGCCCGGAGTAAACTTTTTTTTCTTCTTAATAGCTCTCCTTCCCATAAGTCACAGTAGATAGTCCCTTTGAATTGGACCCATCATCTCAGTTTAAGTAGAGATTACAGACACATGGAGAAAGTCACCCCTATGAGGTGAGCCCCTATGAAGTTAGAATGAAAGGAAAAGTACCTTTTGCCCAAACTATTACATAGTGGTCTCTTTTTTCTTTCTCTCAGTTGACTTCGTATGCCCGGAGTAAACTTTTTTTTCTTCTTAATAGTGTAGCAAGTAATGGAAAAGAGATACTAGGGAATGCACAGCCCCCTCCATGATTAGGGAGTGACGGAGAATCCATGGCAGGAAGCCAGCTATCCCCAGCAACATGCTTGAATCACCATGCCCTGAATCCAGGACATGTACCTTGTATGCAAACACGTTCCCTCCCCCATCCCAACCAGTGCAGTGCCAGAAATAAATGAGCCACCTCAAGTGCTAAGAGAGACAGGGAAGCAGCAAGGTGGACTTCATGCCCCAAAAGGTGCCTGCCTTTTAATCAGATGGTCTTGTTTGGAGATTTCTGATTTCAGGACCAGTTTGAGACACTTAGAAACATTCAGCTTTCACTTAGTGTCTGAAACTTTTAGGAATGCATCTGTAAAGAGAAGAACCCCTTTAAGTCCACAAAGGGCTTGCTAAATTAACATACACACAAGTCTAAAGTCCTTTTAAAAAAGCAGTGAATCAGCATAAGTAAGCCAACTATTTGCAAGTTCTAGAATTTTTTAGTAACTTTGATATACAATCATAAGCTTCTTGGAGACAGTAACCAAAAAGTCTAGCATGTACTAAGTGTTCTGACTGGTTGATAAATGGAACCCTGGATTCATGGCTCCAATTAGTAAAAGAGAGTGGAGTCAGCTGTCTGAAATGATGAAGGAAAAGGTGGAGATGGACACTTCATGAGGAGGAGTATTCAGCAATGTGCAAGAACCAATATACAATGTGCCCTTGGATCCCTGATAGGCTTAGGTGACAGCTGAGCTGAAGCAAAGACGGAGGCAGGGACCAGGAGGGTAGAAGGCAGCTCTCCGCAGCTCTTTGGGGGCCCCTTATGTAAGAGCATCGCGGTATCTGTGGCCAGTCCACTCTGAAATTTAGCATTTCTCAATCAAAAGGTACCAAGCAGAGCAATGGAATACAAGCTTTAAGGAAAATGTACCCAGATAGATCTGAGCACAGGAAACCAAAATTGCATTTAAGGCAGTGATTCTAATTAGTTCTTTACTAAATCAAAGTTTAGTGAATTCAGACTGAAATAATTAATGTTTAGTCCTGCTTGGCTATGTAACAACAATCATATTAAGTTGAATTTTCCCTATTCAAGATGAAATTGTTTAGTAAGGGCCTCTGGAAAATAATATTATTTGTAAGTTGAGTTTTAATAAGTTCTATTAAATAAGTATCAAAGCCCTTTTTATTGGCACTCAGGGACTTCTGGTGTTACAGAATAAAAACAAGTGAACTTGATATGTGTGTTAAATGTTATTAATGAAAAAATTATTTATTCAGCAGTGATTCAACAACGAAGTGTGTAATGCTTTCTGGATGTCAAAATTCATTTTGAGAAGTTGCTAATGCTTTTTTGGGTGGCCAAGAGGAAGAGTTTGAACAGACCTCTGACCCCCAAAATACAGGCTGTTCCCAACTTCCAGGCAGGTTGTGTTCCAAAAAATGTTTGATTGTAAGTGACTTGTTTGGCCCTCTAGTTGCATTTTCCCAGAGACATGGCAGTGTAGAGGGAAGCACTGAGCCCAGTGGCTTTAAACAAGGGAAGCGGGTCTGAGTGGCCCAGAGGTAGAGAAACCTAGACATTCTTAGCCCTGCAGGTGGGAGGGGAGTTCTGGGCGTGCCCTAGGGGCCAGGATGGGCCAGGGTAGGCCACTCATGGGAAAAACATGACTGAGCTGAGTGCTGGTTCTACCACCTTCCAGCTCTGTCTTTGAACAAGTCACTCCGCTGAACCTCAGTTTTCTCATCTAAAACAGGAGAAATTATACCAACCTACATTTCAGAATTGACATCACATGAAACACTTCAGATCAAAGTGTCCAAACCATCTGCGTCCTTCCAAAATCAATCCCCTTTAGCCTTCATCTTCTTCAACCAATTACCAAGTCCTATATTTTTTATCTCTTAAGTCTCTCTGGAATGTTTCCATTTACCTCCACCCCCACTGTATTACCCTAGACCAGCCACACCATCATCTCTGACCAAACGACCCTTAAATGCACCCCACTCTCTCCTGCCTCAACGTTTTCTACATTCTCCTGAGGGACATCCCTGTGCCCAGTGCTGTTCCCCTCTAGCCCATTCTTGACAGGACAAGAGCTCTTGAGAGCTTTTAAAATGCAAATTTGATCCGTGGTTCCTGCTTAAAATCATTCAATAGCTTCTCATTGTCTTTGGATAAAAACCAAACCGCATAACATGAATTTTAAAGCCCAGCACCCTCTGCAGACCCGCCTACCCTCCATCCTCATTTATAACACTCTTCCACCTCCAACTCTACATACCTGCCTTGCCAGCCTATTTAGGTCCCTTCATGGCTCCCTCTCCCACGCCCAGCCCTGACACAGAGGGTCCCCTGGGCTTGGGACACTTCCTTCATTGCACCCTTCCCTGATTCACCTGACCAACTCCATTAGTCATTCTCCCCTCCGTAGGGTATAGGCCAGCCTTGTCCCCGTTGGTTATTAGGATTCCAATAGCAACACCAAATTCTTCCCCTCTCAAAATACTTGACTGTAATTACTGGATCAGTTCTCTGATTTCCCTATAGGCTGGAAGGCTGGCACAGGAAGGGAAGGTGGTAGTAAGAGTGTAGGTTTCGGATTGCCTACGTTAGATCTGAGGCGCAGCCCTATGTTTGCTTGTCAAATTGCTCATCTTTACACCTCAATTTTATCATCTGTGAAATGGGGGAAATAATACTGCCCTACCCTGTAGAATTATTGTGAGAGTTAAATGAGATAATATACCCAATACATATATATGCATATATAAGTGCATATAAATATAAATGCATATATATACATATATGCATATATATGCATATATAAAAAGGTTTAATATATGTTTAAGGCTTAACATTTAAATACATATATATGCACATGTATAAAAGGTTTAAGTGCATTGACTGGTGCATAGAGAGTAAATCTTCAATAAACTGGGACACAGACATAATGGATACTCACTAAGTACAAACTTTTTGTTGTTGTTGTGCTTTGCTTTTTAAAGCAAGGTATTCCTAAGGCTGTTTTCCTGCGAATCCAATTTCTCTTTTTATTTTCTATTAGCTTGATGAGAGTAGAGTCCCCAAAGTAAAATGTGTCAACACTGTTTGCTCCCCTATTTGCTCATTTTTTCCCAATCTGTGTAGCCTGTAGGTATGATGTAAAGACATAAAGGGGAATAGAAGTGGGCAAAGAAAAGATGACATTCAGAAAACATGTTCTCCAGCCAACCAGCAGGGCATCTCTTCACTTATTAGTTGTGGATTCTGTCTCTGCCCACGGTTCATAAGGCCCTGCCCATTTCTGAGCCCTACCCTGGGAGGCCACTGGCTGGGAAGTCCCGTGTGAGAGGCTGAGCATGAAGCTTATTCAGCAAAGACACGACTGTAGCACGCAAGCAAATTAAAGCATTCGCCACTTTCCATTTCACTATGCCCAAAAACCCCAAAAACCAAAAAACAATAGTTTGGGGCTTTTTCTAGAAGGATTCACCAAATACATTTCAAAGGCAAAACTACAAATTAGTGCAGCCTGGGGTATGTGACATTTCCTAAGGTCTTTGGAGGAGATGACAAAACAAGGAACTTCCCACTTTCCTGGGCCAGAAGTTTTGTGAAAACATCATGTGTGAAAAATCAATAAACATTGTACCTTGCCCCTGAATTTTGTGAGGGTGTCCTCATTACCTGAGCTTTAACAGGCTTTAGAAGAGTTATTGTCATTTCGATTTGCAGATGAGTCATTGGGTCTCTTGCCCCCAGAGGCACTTCATTATTATGATTCAGTGCAAAGGACTGAAAGGGCTGGCGCTTCCGGGAGTGAGTGGTGTCTGGAGGGGGTTTCGGTGGCTCCGCGTTGGCATGGGGCTTAATTGACACCTTTGATGTAGCCTAAGACAGAACCCGCACCTCCCACTGCTGCTAGGAAGACGTCAGGCTTACGCAGAAAAGGCATCTGCTGATGAATCCTGCATCTCAGTCAGCCTGCTCTGGGAGCAGCCTTAGCCATCCTGTACTAATCCCACCGCCTCCCGTTTCCGCCGGTGCTCGGCTTAGGGCGCAGACGAGATTTCGCTTCTTGCTACTGTCAGGTCAAACTCTAAGACTGTGTCCATGTTAGAACTCATAGAAGGTAAGTGAAATGCATTCTCGCTGTCCCTCGTGCAAAGCGTTTATCATGCACCCTCAGGAATGTGTGTGTCTCCTGGCTAATTCTGCCTCACTGACTGTGGAACTGTATGTAATGTTGTCATTTTTACAGGTAAAGTAGAGGCGACCTAATATATCTTTAACATCATGTCTTTAAGTGTTGTATCTGCTCTTAGAGGTGCTGTTACTTAGAGAAAAGAATTGCTTACTTGAGTTCTGTGGCTTTCATTCAGTTTAGCGATAATGGTATATAAAACTCTTGAGAATCAGGTGAACTCCAGTGATTTGAGCCTGTTAGAAAGTGGCTTTTAATTTCTGTGGCAGCTGAAGCAAACTGTGAGGGTTTCTTGAGTGTCTCTGGCCAATTGCTTTGTCCTGAATCAGGTTAGGGGGATGGACAGGGCACAAGTGAATGCGGGAACTTCTTCTAGAAGCAAGTTATTGATTGTAAAAATACAGAGATCTGGTTTATCAGGTCACTGGGAATATCACTTGTGAGCTGGGCTAATATCTACTACTAATGGGTAGTACTGGGCAGCTAAACTAAAGAATTTAGGATGAATCCTGTTAAAAATATCTCAGGACTTTAAACACATTTCTGAAATCTCTGTTGGCACAGTTAAAGGCATCATTAATAAATTCATCAGGAAAGTTATGAAAAGTACACCGTAAAAAATTACATAACCTGCTGCTATATTAAACACAGGATTAACAAAGCAGTGAATTTCTGAAGGTTACTCCCCAAGGCTTTTCTTCATGATACAGATAAAAGGATGTCTAAGATTTGAGCAGATGTCCCTCTATAATTGTTTATTTCTCTGAGATGATGATCTGTCGTGAGAATTCGCTAACATGCCATCTTTCTCTGTGTGTGATTCTTTGTGTTTCTAGTTAATGGAACCCCTGGTAGTCAGCTCTCTACTCCACGCTCGGGCAAGTCGCCAAGCCCGTCACCCACCAGCCCAGGAAGCCTGCGGAAGCAGAGGGTAAGGAATTCAGCCAGCCACTTGTTTAAGAGCTGTCTGAGCCTGGGTGCAGAGTGGCACAGGTGCCAGGACTAATGCTGCTTGTCTCTAGGTAATAACCAAGAGAGGGCAGGAGGTGACCAATGGTGGGTCACTTCTTATTGTGATGGTTTAGCTGGAACTCAGGGCTTCTAATTTCTCTGTAAACTGGTCCAAACCTTAACTCTGAGAAGAATGTACCTTTGCTGCTTCACTTTTAAGTACCCCCGTTTTTGTTTTGAATGCATCGACTTTGTTAGCACTGGTTTGTAAGCTGCCTTAATAGTAATGAGTTTTATTAGATATCATCACTGATCACCAGCCCCTCAAGGAAAGGAGAAGGTGCTGTTACTGGAGGGGACGATCCTGGTGGGGAGTTGTCTTATGGCCTAGAATGCTGGTCCTGAGTAGTGTAGGTCCACGGAGCAGGGGATGGGTACGCAGGACAAGTGTTTATGAATGAAACCCACACGGAGAACCCTCTCTTTCATCGCTCCTTGCATTTATTTTTAGCCTATTATGTAATAATGGAGAAATTGGCTGAGCTCGGAGACCAGTGTGAAAAAGTTACTGGGAACAGTGTTGACTTCCCCACGCTAAGGAAGAGGGTGAGGGTCAGCTCTTCTTTCAGGATGGAAAAACTACTGTCTTATTCTCTCACAGCCTGCACTCCTTGTCTTTTCCAGTAATGCCAGGGCAAGAATAAAAGGAATGGAGAGGGAAAAAGAGGGACGGTACAGAAATGGAAGGCCCGTCGTGGGCCTGATTTCAGAAGTGAGGCAGGAGACGCACACTCTGGAGGTTTTGTTATGGTGCTCACCGAGCATGGTCATAAGCAAGGGCTCCTTGGAGGCTTCTGTACTCAAATCCCGGATTCTTTAATTTGGTTTCTTTTATTCTGTGTTTTAAAATGAGACTTTTAAATTCCATAAATTTAAGCTTCATTCCAGATGGAAGCTCCTCTCTTCAAGTCTCCTGCCCAGGTTGTGTCTTTAGGCTTCCAGAACTGTCAGCCATTTAAAAGTGGGGATAGGGGGACTCAGTCCCTTTGGAGCCTGTCCCACCAAATATCAGGTTTTATTATCTTTCTCCACTGATCCACCTGGCACCAGGTTGAGCTTGTTTAGGTTGTTTGATGAAGCCTGGGATCTGGCACCAGCATCTCCACCAAATGGCTGTGTTATCTCAGATGTCTATTATCCTTTCTGGCTTCAGTTGGAAAAACAAAACAAAATTGCGTCTTTCCAGACTAAAACCCAATCATTCTGTTCTAGTTCCACTTGAGTGTTTTCACTATGGTTTTCTTTTTGGCCAAAGTCTAATTTGGCATTTTAAAGTCCAGGAATCATTAGTGAACTACTCAAAGAATTGGCCGAATTCATTTAATCTCCTAAAGGCCAATCCTTGAGTGGAGGGATAGCTGGTGTGGTCATTCTTTTCTTGAAAAGCTCCAGTCTACAGGAACAACCGTTAGATAGAGCACAGGAAGGGCCCTCATTCACAGAACGTTCTCTTCATGTGTACACTTTGGGAAGTGCAGTCAGCCCTCTCTGTGTCCTCAGGTACCTTATCAGCTGATTCAACCAACAGGGGATTGAAAATAATTGGGGAAAAAAAACACACATAACAATAAAAAAATAATAATATAACAATTTAAAATAATACAAATAAAAACAATAGCAACTATGTACATAGCATTTACGTTATATTAGGTATTATTAGTAATCTAGAGATGATTTAAAATATATGGGAGGTTGTGTGCAGGTTATATGCAAATACTACACCATTTTATATAAGGGATTTGAGTACCCTCAGGTTTTGATAACTCCCCACACTTATCAAATCATACACAATCCCCCATGAATACCGAGGGAAAACTGTACATCTAGCATAGAAATCCCTGTTTAGCCTTTGAGCTAATTAAACTCAGATTCAGGATATATGTGGCTCATGCTTAGTTGAGATTAAATTAAGAGTGATTGAGAATCCCTGCTACAGATGTGGAGACTTCAATCTTGGGGATACTGTAAAGCTTTGCTCAAATGTCCCTCTGTTGGCAGAATGAGTCTAGAAGTTGCTTCTTCTGTCCTCTGTATTCTCTGCTTCATTATGATTTTGTCAAACCAATGCAGAAAATTTCCATCCAGCTGTATGGCCATTGGCTTATACAATTAGCATTTCCAGCACTTGGGAAATGACTATAAGGTATGGTTCTCATAGAGTCTTCATTTTGCCATTTAAACTACCAGCAAGAGCACCACACTTGAGAGAGAAAACAATCCCATTTGTTTTAAGGGGACAAAGGGCTTATCCCCATCTGAAAACATTTATTAAGCACATGTTTTGAGCAGGATGCTGGATATATTCTAAGATGGGTTCAGTTTCAATTTAGGCCATAAGTGAACATCCTGCATCCATGTACCATGTCAGTGTATGGAGACATTCCCAGCTGCTTTAGCGAGAGGAGCTTTCATCTCGGTGTGTAGGCAGCTGCATCAGATAAGCCCTCCCAGTTAAAATGGGCCTAGAATATCCCTAAAAACAGATCCTGTTTCACATTTGGTTAACGTTCTTTTCAAATGGTTGGCTATAATCCTATGCAGGAAATACAGAAATAAGTGAAAGATGGCATGTGCTAAAAGAAGACATTTAAAGAATAAATTAACTCTTCTTATTGCAAATTGAGAAACAGTAGCTACTTCTATTTTTTCCTTCTAGGTTGCCTAGCAATATGGCTAGGAAAATGAATTGACTGTCCCCACCCCAATGCACACACACACACACACACATACGTGTGCACATATACACATACACATGCATACACACACATACACACAGCACATATACACATACACACACACTTCTTATCCCATTTTAAGCAATATGGCTAGGAAAATGAATTGACTGTCCCCACCCCAATGCACACACACACACACACACACACACGTGTGCACATATACACATACACATGCATACACACACATACACACAGCACATATACACATACACACACACTTCTTATCCCATTTTAAGATATAGGGACATAAGCTGTTTTTTTTTTAAAGAAATATGGAGACATCTGACTGCTTTCTCTACAAACAAGAAAATCTATATTTTTACTTGTATTAATTATGATGATTCAATCAGCTTTTTTTCTCCCCTTAAATCCCTATTTTCATGTTACTTCTTTTGACATTTGAGAATGGTCTTATACAATAAGAGTCTGCATGCCAGATATTTTTCTTCATAAACGTGTTAGTGGCAATGTACCAAGTAACCTCCCTATTTTTCCAAAACACAATTATTTAAATTGCTTTCTAGAAGTGTTTGGTCACAGAAGCAGATCTTGGAGGCTCTTTTCCCACCCGTGAACTTTTTTTGATCCCATTTCTTAATATATGAGGAAGAAATGTGTTGTCCTGTGTAGGTTGAATGAAGCTCCCCATTGAACTCCCACATCACTGACTTTTGTAGATTGTCTGATCAGTCAGATGATGTGAGGAGTGGGTGGTACAAAATAGGAAAAATGCCAGCTCTAGACATTCTGCAGATCTGAGCTGGTTGCCTGGCTACCAACAGAGAGATCTAGTAGCAGAAATGAGTGTGAGGGAAAAAGAGAGGAGGTGATGGTTGAGTGGCTGGTGAACAGGAAAAGAGCATTAGGAAGGGATGAGGAGTAATTTTGAATTCTTTCTGTCATCCAAACACAGTATTTTGAAAAGGCAATGTCTGTTGGGTTTATGCTATGTGCAAATGCAACACTTGAGTGGCTGCTCTGGGACCAGAATTTGCTGAATGCCAGCTAGGGCTCCTGCTGAATTATTTTGTGAGTAACCAGATTCCTTTTCTATCCAGAATGGGAAGGATATGTTCAAGGAAGAATTGCCTAGACACATAATAGCAGAGTTAGCCTTGTCAGACCTCAGGGGCCCTAAAACTCAACTGGACACAACAGAAGGCAAAGCTCATGAGTAGATCAAGCAGCGTTTTCTAATAAGGCAAAATCAGCACCATTTTTTCTATTTAGATGGTTTCTCTATTTTTATCATTCCTCTTATCCAAAGTGGGTGATTTTAAAAGGTCTAATGATATTAGAAACCAAAGATGCCCATTCAGTGTTGCTCCTGAGAGAGCAGCAGGGCACCCAAGAAAGCCGAGTAAACAAATCTGTACCGCCCTTCATCTTACAGGACCTGTACCGCCCCCTCTCCTCAGACGATTTGGATTCAGTAGGAGACTCAGTGTAAAAGAGACAATGGAGCAATGTATATGGTTTGTGATTGGGTGAAGGCCTCACATTTCCTAAGCAAAAGTCTAACAGCCAGATACACGAAAGAGTTTTGCATACCTTGAAAGGATAAAAGCCAAATCATACAAGAATAAATATGTTGGAATTTTATATTCATGATATTCCTCCTTGAAGGAGAGATTTAAAAAAATATATATATCTCCTGCATCGATTTAATTGGCAGGAGTTTGAACACAAAATCACTCAATTTCTGAGGTTTTTGTGCAAGGCCTGGCTCTAGATGAATTTCATATATGGACCCAATATTGACCATAAGAACACACAAGCAGTGTAGCAGTAGTGAGTTATAATTTCTGTAGATGGGGTTTCTTTTCAGTCATAAGTAGATATATAGATACAATTTTTCTGTAAATTCTTAAAAGGAGATTAAAATGGCGCTAGGAGACATTTTTCTTAAAGTTATATTCTTTTTAAAATTTGTATGGCTGGTTTTTAAGAGGTACTTTCATTGCAAAATAATAAAAATATTCAATTAGATTTTTTGCTTCCCAGAAAGGAAAAAAAAGCTACTTATCGTTTTGTGGGTTAACATATCTGAGGGGGGAAAAAAATCATGTCAAGGACACATCTGATGAGAACCCTAACATTAGGCATTAGGGGGTTTCTTTGCTTTTTTTTGTCAAGTAAATCTTATTTTTTCACATTGTCTTTTATTGGAAACAGAATAAATATA